CACACTGCGGCCTTCCTCCAACTTCCCAATGATTCGACCTCGGGTAAAAGCATCCAGATGTCGTCTAACAGATTGATTATTCGCCATTTCTCGCTGAGGCAGCAACTCGGTGTGATTTTAACTGCTATACGGCGTGCAATCTCTTTGCCAGAAATACTGATCTTACACCAACAACATGCTTTATACTACTCAGACACTCCCCCATTACGTCTACCTGCATATCTGCGCATGTGCTACCATACATCACCTTACTTAATCTCCTGATTGGTCTTTCTGTCCGCTCTGCCTCTTTGTTCAGCTGATATGCTAATTTTTCGACTTCGTCCTTAATTTTTGTTGACCAGTGTATTCTCAGGCTACTCCAAAATGTTAAGACCAGATTTTGTCACACAGGTTCACACCTAAAGGAGGGAAATAGGGGGGAAATTACTTTTGTAATAACCGTTAAACTGTGGAGATGAAAACACTAAATGAGGCAGAAAAGTCATGTATGAATAATTTAGATCATACTTACCAATTTTGTTATGCAACAGAGTGCAAAGTCCTGTTAAAAAATGCAATTTCTATCACCTTTAAAATTATCTTGAATTAACTAGTTTTAAACAATCTTCCAAGATCTGGATATAAACTGATGCATTTTAGGTTCCAGTTATAAATTTTCGGCAGCCAGTGCCTTTGCTGAGTGTGCATTCCCAAATAATTTGGTGTGTTATGGATTTCATATTAGACAACATGCAATCTGGATGCTAAGCCTCACTTTTACAACTTCAAACATGCTACAGTCAAAAGTCGGTAATTCGGACACCCATAATCCGGAATGATCTATAATCCGGACCTCAAAGCTAAAAACTTTCTGCGCATAGGCGTTTACGTGTGCGCATAAGATCTTTATGGCTGCGCATATGCGTGTGCGCAAACGCAGAATACGTTTTCGCGTGCGTGTTTAATGTATAATGGACGGTATAAGCTAAAATTATCTAATTATCTATTTCAGTTATGTTGATGATTGCGTTGTTCCTTAATCTTCGAATTGGATCCGACTTATTATTTTTTGCAGACTGTAAGAGCAATTTTATAAAAGTAAACTTGAACTTTCGATTATGTCAAATAGAATTTCCGATGCTGGAGCTCCCAAAGGACCTACAAAATGAAAGTATGTTTCGATGTCCATCAAACAAAAAGTGGAATTGCTGCAAAAAATGGATAAAGATATGAAGAAGGTGACAGAGCGGTTAGTGAAAACGAAAAAATTTCGATTGACAAGTTAGTCGGTATTCTCGGCACAGCAATTACGGGACTTGAACAGCGGAACTTTGTAACTGAACAAGAAATTATGTCTGTTTATAGAATTAAAGAGAAAGTATTATCACATAAAACGAAGCAACTTAAAACAACTTACATTGAAAGAAATGTTTAATAAAGTAAACAAATAAATATTAAGCTTTTTTTTTTTTTTTTTTTTTTTTTTTTTTGTAAATTTTGATACCCTTTAGATCATAATTGTTCTTTATTTCATAAATTACGGTTTCATATTTTTAATTTTAGAATTTCTGCATGCCATCTTACGAGATTTAAACTGATGATCTATAATCCGGATTCCCCGAAGTCCCGACGAGTCCGGATTAACGACTTTTGACTGTATTTACTGTCTGATCCATGTAGGTTGAATTTAGATTTATCTGAAAAAGTTACTGAGTCCCACTAAACATACTCTTTTGCTTGAGAATGTCACTTCTGCATTATTGTTTTCGTAAGTAAAGGCTTTTTCTTGTGTCAGTATGCATGCAGACTGCATTCTGCTAAGTGTTTTTTGATAGTTCGTGCAATTAACACCACAGTCTTTCTCAAATTCAACTTTTAAATCAGCAGTACTTCTATAACGATTATGAAGAGATATCCATTTTAGGTATCAGTCATCAGATTTTATGGTCAGCTTCTTTCAGTCTGATCCATCCCTTCTCTCAACCATTTTCATGCTCCAATTTAATCACTATCAAAAATGTTGATTGATTTCAGCCAATTTTTTTAACAATCACATGTGTCGAATGTCCTTCTTTATCTAAAGCAACTGCCACACAGTTTTTTCCCCCTTTCATCAATTGACCATACGGAGCCATTCTTTCAATGCTTAAAGAACAAGGTGAATGACTGTTTTTCCTCACTGTTTATAGAAATTGGATTATACAATACATTGGAAGCACTGTATAATGCAATATGAATATGAAATGATCTCATATCTTACTTTGCAGCAAGTAAGATAATTTTATGTGAACGAAATAATGTGTTAACATTACAAAATATTAATTTTTCTAGGTGATGTAGATTTTTTTTTTTTTAAAGTAAGATAATTTTATGTGAACAAAATAATGTGTTAACATTACAAAATATTAATTTTTCTAGATGTAGATTTTTTTTTGTCTGCTACTGTATTTCATAGTCCTTAAACATACAAAAGTACAAAACATCTTACCCAATTATAAAATCCCATTGATATTAAAAGTTAGTGGCAGTGTTGCCAAACTTTTGCCAAAAAGTTTTTTGTTTCTTCTTACTCTTATATATCTCACTCTCAAAGTTTGTTCTTCAGAATCTTTGTTTTCTAATCATTTGAAATCATTTACCTTTGACAGAGGATTTTCTCCCATGATTATTGATAAAGCCTTTAAAAACTTTTCATCTTACCATCAAAGAAGACATTCCACTTTTAGAAATAATGTTAATAATCGTGGCATCATTCCTTGCAATCTTTAGGGGAATTCAACTTTGTCAGTGTATTTTTAGATATACAGTCAAAAGTCTTTAATCCGGACATCCATAATCCGGAATGATCTATAATCTGGACATCAAAGCTACAAACTTTCTGTGTATGCGTTTACGCATAATGAGTCTACACATGTGCGTTTAACCCTCTGAGCGTTACGGGTTTAGCCCTGAAATTTCAAAGTTCCTCAAAATGTCATGAATAAGTGATATTTTCTTGATTTTAATTAAAAAATGACTCTTTCATTTTGTACCTTGATTCCTTTTCTTCCAATATACATCCAAACTGAAATCAGATACATTAAAAACTAGCAGAAATTTTCATGTATAATGAATGAATGTGGAAGGCAACCTTCTGTACAGAATTTTCCAGCCATAACGCTGAGAGAGTTAATGTATAACGGACAGTATAAATAAGCTAAAATTATCTAATTATCTATTTCAGTTAATGTTGCAGATTGCGTTGTTCCTTAATCTTCTAATTGGGCCCAGATTATTATTTTTTGCAGGCTGTTAGAGCAATTTTATAAAAGTAAGCTTGAACTTTCGATTATGTCAAAAAGAATTTCCAATTCTGGAGCAGCCAAAGGATCTACAAAGTGAAAGCATGTTTCGATGTCCATCAAACAAAAAGTGGAATTGCTGCAAAAAAAATGGATAAAGGCATATCCTTTGTTTCTCTAACCATTCTGAAATCTGTTTATCAATTTCACACTGCTCTGCGGGGGGGGGGGGACGTCGCGGCACGCAATGAACTGGAAGTTGATCTGTCAGCACTATCCTTATCTTCAGGGCAGATGTTTTTATTTTATTCGGCTTATAATTCGTTCATCTCGATGTACTCCTTCTTTGATATGATTTAAATCAAATTCCTCGTCATTATAAATATCATGAATACACATCAAAAAGTTTTCTGGTTGCAATTTTCTAATTTCGACTATGTGTAATGTATGCTTTACGCATGCGCGCGTTGAAAGAAATGTTTAATAAATAAAACAAATATATAAATATTAAGCTTCTTTTTTTTGTAAATTTTGATACCCTTTAGATCATAATTGCTCTTTATTTCATAAATTATGGTTTCATATTTTTAATTTTATAATTTCTGCATGCCATCTTACCAGATTTAAACTGATGCTCTATAATCCGGAAAAACCATTAATTCGGAATCGCTGAAGTCCCGACAAGTCCGGATTAAAGACTTTTGACTGTATCAACCAAACGAGCATTACAATTTCATGTCAAGGAGCACAAATCTTATATGAAAAGGAAATACAAACAAATCTTCGATAGCTAATCATAGTTGGAAACTTAATCGCAATTCTGAGTTTAGGTCTACAAAAATTATTCATGATGTTTCTTCAGTTGGTGATTTGGATTTCCTTGAAGTTTTTCACATTAAAAAAGATTTTTTTAGGTAATGACATTAATTTCAATCCAACCCTTCCTGGTGCTTTTAAATTTCTAATATCTTAATTTTTCGTATTTCATTGCCATTTCACTTCTAAAAAAAATTAGAAGAGGCACTTATGTCTGATCATTGCCATCTAAACTGATAGAATTTTATTTAAAATTTGCAGGTTATATTTTGCATAATCTTAAGTAACTTTTTTTCTCTAGTTAAGCTGAAACAAAGCAATGTATTTCATTTTTATTCTAAAACTGTTCCATTTTAGAAAGAAAATAAAATACTAAGATTTTATCCTGGAGGAATGGCAGCAAAGCTGGGAAATATTTCATCATTTTCCTTATAAGTGATAAATCTGAACTGGTTTGCCTTTTTTCAAAAATTATTTCAAAAGCCAAATAATCGTTGTGTGATTTACAGTAATATATCTAAATTAAGAGGCACCAAAAGCTGAGCTGGTATTTTTGTAAGTCTAATGAAATAATACAAATAAAATCGGAAATACTTTTTCTCTATGATTTCCTCTTGCTCTTTTTTTTTTTTTTTTTTTTTTAACTAATGTTTTAGATCTTTCTGCATTTGCAGTGTCATGTATTTACATAAACTAATTAATACTTGATGCATATTCTAAAAATATTATTCTTAAGAATTGCCTCTGGCATTTACATATATTTTCTTTCGTAAGAATTCTTTTGTTATTTTTATGTATTTCAATGTGTTAGTATACATACAAAGCAGTTAATGTTTTTTTCTTATAGAATAAATTTTAAAAAATTACAGTTTTTAGTTTTTGATAGAAATTTGAAATTTAAATATTAATTATGGATTTCAGGTTGGAGATGTTTTACAAGATGAACTGCTGTTGGGTATACAAAACCGATATACTACTGATAATGAACATGGTTTGAGAGAAATTTGGGATCATATTCAAGATGAAGTAATGAATTGGATTTTTAGTTGATTCTTTTCTAAGTAATTTAATGTATTTAAATGTAAAACTTTTATTTTTATTATGTTAGCCTATCCTAGTACATAAAGTTGTTGCACCTAGTACTTAAAATAGTGAATTCACCTTATGTGGTATTCTATGAAATATCATTTAGATAAAAGTAAGAAAACAATTACTATAACCAATTCTTATAGAGCATAAATTTATATTGTGAAATACTTAATAGTTTGTGCTACTCGAATTTATCAATTAAAACTACTGGTATTCGTAATGCATATATCAAATTTGTAATGCATATATGCAAGAGAATTCCTTCTGATGAATTGTATAACTGAGAAACATTTCTTGATATAGAAAACTATAAAGTTACCTTTAAAAGAAATTTTAGCACTAAAAGAAGTTTTAATATTACAGTATCTATATTCTGAATGTGCATTGTGTACTTAAATTCTGATAACTCAGAAATTCTGGATTAGTTATGAAAATACACGTATGGTGCAAAATATAGTAAAGATATTATTTTTCAGGCACAGATATGTTTATTCTAAAAATAACTGTTAGGAACAAACATTTCTAATTGAGCCTAGAGCAGTGGTTTCTAACTTTTTCCTCCTTGCAAAACCCTTTTAAAATCTAAAAGAAATTGTCGAATCCTGTGGGTGGTCATTAGTAACAGGTAAGAAAACAATAAAATTTGGTAGAGCATTTATTTTCCATGTTGCACAATAATTATGGTAAGAAACGAAAACATAATCATAAAACATCTAGGTACAAAAATGAATTAATATATAAGGTATTTTCTCATACCTTCGTGTTGTTCGTGTTCTTCAGGCTCTTTCTGCATATCTTCGTGGTTAACAGTAGCACACTTGACATGTATTTAAGAGATGTGTGTTCAAGTCCCAGTGAGGGCATTGCTCATTTTTCACATCTGTTGCTTCAAAATATTCTATTGACTCTACAGTGGTGCCCAAATAAAAAAGGTGGTGCCAGGATTTGGCGAATGGATCCCCTAATCCCCAGTTCCTCTATTCTTTCTAAGGTATTTTCTCTTTCCTTTCTATATGCTTTATGGTGTAATTGTAGCACACTTAGCGCATATTCGAGAGGTCCAAGTTCAAGTTCCAGCAAGTACTGCTTATTTTTCACGTCTCCTGCTTCAAAACATGCCAGTGATTCTACAAATAAATACTAAAATGATAGCTGCAAGAAAAATAAATACAAAATTATTCAACAAACCAACTAGTTCTTAGTTGAGGATACATTAAATTTGAAAACCTCTTAATGGGGTATTTGTGATTTCTGATGGAAAAAAAGCAATTCAGAGTTTAGCTCAATGTCTGGTAGTTTCAATCTTAGATCAGGTTTTTAACTTAAGTAAGCTGTTTGTGCATTTATCTTTCAGGTAAGTAAGTATATGTTAAAACATATACTTTCTCACATAGATATATTGTGCAAGAGTGGCTTTTAAAAGTAGTTTTTAGAGAGCTGTCACAGGATAACTCAATACTTTTTTCTTTTTTTCAGTTAAGTTACAGAGGCTTCTAAGCTTACATTTCCTTGAAAAGGATTATGTATCCAGTTGGTTTATAGCGATATAGTATATCTATTTGGAAAATATTCATCAGAAGTTAATTGAAGATGTTTCAGATTGTCACATATATTTAGTTTAATGTTTTCATCAAGTTTATCTGATTTGAAAGCTGCTGAGAGAACCAAAACATTCGTACTCATTCATTTGCAGACATTGTATCAAAAAGTTAAACGTTTTTAGCATGGCTTCAGTTCTATCATGTACACTAAAAATGGTGACACCTGTGCCTTTTAATACCATATTTAGTTCAATAAAAAATGCTTAAACCTCAGACTTCAATTCAAATAAGTGCAGCCTATCAGTAGCCAAACGGTAAAGTCTCTGAACAGTGGTAGTTCTGATCTGGGTTTTTGATTCCATGCGAACGGCTGGTTGCATGGCTGTTTTCCCCATGTGTAAGATTTTTACAAGCCAGTTTCCCTTAGAAAATCCTCCACAAAGGCATCCCTTTAGGCAGATAGCTCTTGTGTGCTTTGCCATAATTAAATAAGCTAATCTAACAGGCATATCAAAATTTTGCCACAGGAAAGCCATCTAACTTCTAAGTAGTAAGGAAATATAAAAGCTTCTAAAGTCCTCACAAAGTGCATGGAATAGATGGCAGTGCAATTTTATAAAGTTTAATATTTTTACAGCATCATTTATAGTAGTAGATAATTCTGCAAGAATGTGCTTACATGTCAGTGCTTGTCTATGAATGCAGCAGTGAATCCATTCATTTTTCTTATTGAGCTTCTTTAGTGGCACCACAAAAACACAAAATTTTCCTGTCGCTGATTTTGCATCATTTGTTTACATATCCACATACTAAGACCAGTTTATTCCATTTTCTGCAAAATAAATTTTGACCATATCGAAAATTGCGTCTTGAGTTGCGTAGGTTGTTAAAAGTTTTTGCGAATAGTGCGTCTTTTTGAATGGAATTCTTAAAAATATATTTAAGATTGACAAGCAATACGGCAGCATTTATTACATTGGTTGACTCATTAAGCTGGATCGCAAAATAATTAAATTTTATTGAATTTATTTACTTTATAATATCTTTTGTTCCAGTTAAATTTTCTGTCATTGTATGTGTCTGTAAAGATCTTAAAATTATGTAGCTAATTTGAAATGATGCCTCAAGGGTTATTTTACTATCTTTATTTGAAGTAGACAGGAAAGAAGAGCCACTTTATTTTCTATTATTTAAAGTGTTGCCCATTCTCTCTTTCAGATTGCTTGGTTTGGTATCATCAATTCATTAAATTTGTATAAAATATGATATAAATAAAAAAACAAATTTAAAATTGGGACTTCAAGGTGCTCATGTTCAAGCGGAGGACTACATGTATGAAAGATTAGGCCTAGGCGCCATCGTTTTTCCACGTTGGGAGGAACATACGTACATGCATACAGATTCTTCATTATTTATTTATTTATTGTTAAATAATACATGGTGATAACATTCGGCATCGACAGTCTGAGGTGATTTGGTTAAAAAATATGATATGGTTAAAAAGTGAGTTTTGATGCTAATAACATTTCTGGTATTTGAAAAAAACAGAGAGAACAAGAAAGAGAAATATTTTTGTTTGAATAATTTTATTCTGTTTTATATACTTTACATATTTAGCAAGTTTATTATTAAAATATATTTTTTTTTTAATTTTAAAATTAAAAAAAAAAAAAAAAATGTTTTTGCTTTGCTTGTTTTTCCACTTTTTGGTCATATGGCTCGCTTGTGCTGGCTAGGAGGATCGGGGCTGTGCCCTATAATGATGATGATAATGTTACCCCAGTATGTTCAGGATTTATTGCCCATTTCATTTACAATAAAATTATTTTAATTATTTTCTTGAAAATATTTCATCTTAAAAATTGAATTTTCTACCATATTAATTCAAAATAAGCAGTATTTATTGCTTCGAAAGATACTGCACTACTATCAATACCTTGCATAGCATTTAATAATTACTTAGTATTTTCTATAAATTATGTGAAAGTAAATTTATATTTTCTTTGTAGTTTATGTGTTGTGGTGTAAAAGGATATCAAGATTGGTTTCATGTATCAGCTTGGCCAGATAAAGAATGGGTTCCTTCTAGTTGCTGCCTTCCAAAATTTTCTAATCTGACCTCATGTGGGAAAATGGAAGATGCTTCATATTTCTACCAATCAGTAAGTTTTATTCTCATCACTAAAAAATTTAGATGGGAGAAATCATTTTTATTTGCCTTTTGAAAACAAAAAAAATTTCTTTGTAATGCAATAAATTTATGAATTTTAATATTTTTCAAAATAGTGTTTTATGTATGGAAAAAATACTTCAGGATGATGGCCATGAATTAGGCAGTTAAATTGTTTGTTGTAATTAAGAGCCGTTTGTCACATAGTCTTCCATGAGAGTGGATAATCAATTTATTATAGTTTTTAAAAATATAACTGGTGATATTATTATCCAGTGCCATGGACAACTATATAGAATGTGTTTTACTTATTGCTGCAAAGTTTATTTCTAATGATTAGTACTTTTCATTTATTTAAAATTAATTTTTTTAGTTATTAAGTAAAAATAACGGCTTTAATTTAATTTAAGAAAATTATGGTAGTATTTTTTTGCTAATGCCTTATTATTCCAACTTATGTTTGTGTTATGCATTATTTGTCTCTAAATGTTATGAGTCACAATCATAAGCTATGCATTTCTATATAGCTTGCAATTTGTTAATGATTCCATATGCCTGTATGCATTTGTAGGGTTATTACCTATAACAGCACACAGAATGATCATGTGCATCATATTTGCAATACATTGTCATAACGCACGGATAGTAAGCTTATAGTATACACATTGATAGTATATTGCTTAAATTACCACTTATTCTTATCTTTTAAATAAATTATAATAAAAATCCTTTAAATGAACTCGTGTTTTAAATGATACAGTCAGTAAAACACAAGCTAAAGACAACTAAAAGAAACTACAGTTTCAGGCAGTACTGCTAAAATGTCTGAGTAGTTAACAGTCCTAAGGAAAAATTTTACATGTGCATGAGAAATCAGAGGCATTTTTCATGCAATCATGAAACTTCAGGGAAGATCTTGGAAGTATCGAAAAGAAAGAAAGTGTGATAGACCTTTTTCTGATAATAGAAGGAATAGATACTGAGATTCATCAATGGAATAGCAAAAGTATATGAAGAACACTGCGTGTCATTTGCTAGAGCAGACATATATAATCCAAAAGATTTTAAAAATACATTTTATTTTGGCTGGTGGTGTGGTATATATAAGTTTTTTTAGGTGAAAATTTTAAATAAAATACATTATTACTATAGTTTTTATTATTATTCAAAATTAACAGTAGAACAGTTAAATATTTTATATATAAATAATTATAACAATCAAATAATAGTATATTTACTATAATAAGTGTGATATTTGTTTCTCTTTTCTGTTTAGTTTTTTCCTCAGTACTTGTGTTTGCCCATCGTAATTGATATTGTAGGTTTTCATCAATTAAGGACATCCATGATTTATGTTTTGTTATTCTATTTAAAAAAGATAATTCACAGACATAAGTTGATCCAAAAGCACTAACAGCTTTTTGTGCCAGATTTCTCAAATGAAACAAATTTCCTTTTGTTATTTATTTATGTCTTATAAAATTCAGCTTTAAATTCTGCTGCTTCAAAAATGTGCTTCAGTTCGTCATTACACTGTAAATCCATTACCATAATATTTAGTGTCCCAAAACAAGACCCGATCATATGTTAGTCTTTGCTGCTAAAGATATGCTATGGCTTATTTTCGGGGAATGTCTTATTTTTCATGCACAATAGTTAACATTTGTTCATCTTCAAGAAACATATCATTTCTTCAGGTTCAAAAATACATTTATTCAGATTCAAGAAATGCATTTATTAACATTCAAGAAACATTCAAAAAGGAACAAAATAATTTATCATTACACAGCTATGTCATAGCTCAAGATATAGAATTCCAGCCTGATTTTTCCCAACTTCATTTCCTCTATGACCATTAGCCCTAGGATGTTATTTTGAACAATGTTGTTGTCCTGAACTGAGCTCTTTTTGTTCATGTAGCTTGCTTGTAGACCATTGGCAATGCAACTGCCTGTTATTTTTTCCTATGCATTCTTCACTCAATTAACGCCGTTTTGTAGCTTAAACTTTGCAAAGTTTCCTTATTGATTTCTCTCCATTTTCATTATAGTCATTGATTTCCATGTGCAAATGATCTTTAAATGGCTTGTTTATGGATATATCAAGAGTTTGGAAATATGCAGTCATTCCTGTGGGAATCATTATATGATCAATTTTTCTTCCTGTAAGAAATTTCGAAATTTCTTCGTAGTTTTAGCATGGTGATTGCTGGTAAAATTTCACACTATCGTACCTCTTTTGGATACCTCCCAAAATAAATCAACTCACTTTCATATTGCTGCTTGTGTGCACCAAGTTGTTTCAGTCTCAAGAACATAAATACCTGAAACACATTTGATTCCCTCTTTCTTGCTCTTTCAGATGATAAGAAGGGGGTATATATATAATGTGTGCACTTTCGTAACCAATGGAGGGAATGTATATCACAGAGGCACCCCTCTGATCAGAGGTAATTTGAGAGCCCTGAGCCATAAACACTGCACTTTCATCCATAGCCATCATTTCAAGAGTTTGTATTTAGAGAAGTCGATGCCATCAATGAAACAGTTGAATGCAAGTGCTTGTTTAATCACTTCCGTATCTTCCAATTTGAACAGTGTTGTCAATCTTCTTAGAGGCAGTTCATATCGCTGAAAGAAGTCATCCACTCACTGTTGTGATTCTTTGCATTCATCTGGAAATATGTTGTGGTGCCATTTCAAGGGTAAATGTTTGAATATCAGCCCTGCGAACAATCAAACACTTTGCTCTTTTGTCAACAATCCATTCACAGATGATGTGTTCTAATTCAGGAAATAGTAGATGCCTATCTGATCCACAAAAATGCTTTGTGGCATTTTCCTCTTCGACCTATTCACTGCGGTTATTGTACTATGATCACCATTTTTGGATCATTCTTATATCCAACTTCTACTATTTGCAGAAAACTGTATGATCCTTGGAGTTGTCCACAATTCCTTAATGAAATTCCTCTTTTTTCCTGCACTCATTTTACCTTAGTATCAAAATTTATTATTAAATCAAGTGCTAAATGTTCAATGCTAATGCAGTGTACTGTACAGAAGATTCCAATTTGTCACAACCACATCCATTTGTTTCAAATGTGCATGTATGTTGCATCTGCACTTGGTTATTCGGCAAAATGCCGTCCATCTGGCTGATGATCTTAACTGGAGATTATTTTAAGAATAGGGCTTATATTTTACCATGAAAAATCACACTAGGGCTTACTTTTTGATTAGGTCTTATTTTTGGAAAATCGCAAATAGCTTCATTTGAAGATTTTGCAGAGCCGATCCAGTATCTGTGTGGAAGAAAATTGAATATATATAAAATATTTTATTGTGTTTGCTAAAATTGCTAAATTGACTGTCAAACTGAAAAAATAAGTTTTATTTTTTTAACATATTTGGAATTATTATGATATTCCGAATTTTAAAATTCTTTCATTAATGGCACATTATTTTTAATTTAAATTCAAATAACAGCTTCTTTTAAAATGTTTCATCTGGTTAAAAACATCGATTTTAAAATTACCTTTCCCTGGTAAAAGTATATTTAATTGATTAAGTTTTCTGTTTCCACTAAAAAGCATAAATCCAACATCCACTCATCATTGCTTAAGTGTGGCACTGGTTTTCGCTTCCCATTTATAAACAAATCAGTTTCCTGACATATAAAAATCACTGTAAACATATTCCCCAACCTATCCACCTGACATGACTGAAATATATAATGTCACCATAGTCAGTATTTAATTCTATTAGAAATTCTTTACACTGTTTATGCAAAACTGCATGTGATCAAATGTGACCACTTGCATAATATAATTCATCAATAATACTTCAGCACACAAGTTTTGTTGATAAATCTAATAATGGATAATTATTAAATCTTTTGTTTTAATGCCATTTGTTTCTAATTTATTTAGTAGTAATTTTACAGCTCCCTTATCTTTACTAATCATAACTGCCCTGCCATCATTTGATACTCCAGAAATAATTTCTAGATGCAAGTTGTTTTTGTATAAACATTTTTCGAGGGCCTGAAAAATATCTTCCCCTATTATAATGTGTATCAAACTGATTAGGTTTAATATTTCTTCAGTTACTTGAACTAGTTCATAAATTCCATGAACGAATACTACAAGATGAACTGTAGTCGAAATATTTGTACTGATCCAGTGCCAAAGCGTAATATTTGAAATCTCGAATTAGATTGCACAGATTTGTGACAATATTATTTGAAAAGTTAGTAATTTGATGACATACTGTTTACCAAGATAAACTAATGTTTAAAAATAATTTACTTTTATCAGCTACAACATCTTTTGCAACTGCTTCTAAAAATTCTCTTAAAAATTCACCATCTGAAAAAACTGTTTAACTTTTTTAGCAGTAAAGATAGAAAATGAAATAACTTGCCATCGCAATATTAGATGGCTTTTGTAATACTGAACTAAACATTGTTTTTTTTATCTTTTAATTGCGATTTAATTTCTGTCAGTTTTGGTTCTTTTATATCTTCTCCAGTGTCATATAAGATCTATGTTTTATTTTATGATGTCTTTTCACATGGTATTCTTTTAACACAGTGACTGTTTCTTGACAAATTAAATGTTTAGAATAATAAAACAGTGCTTTCTTCCTATTTGAAGCTTAGAATAATAAAAGAGTACCTCTTCCCATTGTCCCCTGTTTTCACCAAAAGTTGTCTTTTGTACTCGAAAGATTTACTAAAGGCATGGAGCAGTAAATCTAATTGTACATGTGCATCAGGGCTGAAAATATCAAACATGATCGCTCCAGCCTTGTCCTTATAGCTTTTTGAATCAATCAGAAGACGTAGCATCACAGCTCCAACATGCTTCTGTTGACAGGTACCATCATTGCCCATGTTGTTTTTACTCAGAAGAGTTGGAACATATTTCTTAATTTTTGCTGTGTTAACAGAAGATATTAAGTTATAAATTTCATGAATTCTGCCATAGGCTGCATGCTGTCTGCAGGCCTCGTGTTGGCCATCTTTATGCTATATTAAGGGAATGGTGCCAGCACTTTAAAGGACAGTTGTCTTTGACATATGATAAACATTATGTGTTGCACTAGTGTAGTGGTAAGAAGCTTAAATTTCATGTGGACCAAAATTTGTGTTAAAACAAAGTTAAAAGGTTTTTCTAACAAAGCAAAATTTTTTAAACTAAATTTTATTTGCCGAAAATTTATCAAAACATGCATAAACATGAATAATAATGAAAAAATTTAAATTTTTGACATAATTATTTTCTGCCTGAAATCTAAAAGTTGGGGTCTAGAAAAAATTTCTTTTGGTACACTCTGTAATCCAAACATATTAACTTCTCACTAAATTTTTAGACTGGTATTTATTTCAGATAGCTCTAATGCATTAAAATAACCACTAAATAATTTACTTTTAACTTAAAATAAATAAAATATTAAAATTTTCCAATGGCACATAACTTGAGAATAAATAATGACAACTTATTAACATTTCTTTTTACTTGCTAAATTTTCTTTGACACATAGAAAAAATACATTTTTTTCTATGCGTAAGACATACAAAACTATTTGTATGTAAATAACTTTAATAATAAAAGACATACAAAACTATTTGTATGTAAATAATTTTGTATGTCTTTTATTTTTTACTAAATGTTTCAACTGCAACAAATCATGCCATTTTAATTTGTATGAAATGGTAACTTTGGAGTAAACTATTTTCATCATAAATTGTAGGTGTTCCTTGACCAATCTGGCTCTTTTCATAGACGTATCAATTTTCAACTATGACAAAATTTGGCACTTATGAAGGTATTCTTAAACAAAGTGATTATTTTAATTGCAAACACTCGTAACTTAGGGTATTTTATCTTTTGACAAGTTTGAAAAAAGGTTAATAGAATTTGTATTTCCAAAGCTTTGAATAAGATTTATATAATAGTGTGAATAAATTAGCTCTATTTTTAAATTTGCTGGGTATATTAGTCATATCTGTTTCTAAATATAATGGGAAATTGGATTCCAAATCATTGAATTCTTAAACTTTTTCTCCAAATTTTTGTCATAATAATGCTAATTAATTTATGGGAAATATATTCACTGAGTGTGTAAAATTGCTTCAGGGACAGCATTTATCCCACAGGGTGCCAGTTTGAAACCACTGCACTAAAGTATTGTTACAGATGCTGAGCAAATTCAGCAAAATCCTTTATAACAATAGAGAAAATTTGCTTGAGAAAGCTGTGCAGAGATAATTCATTGGAGTGTTAAATATGATGGAGAAAGTTAAAAAATATTATCAAGAAAAGCTTTAGACTTTTACAAGAAAGTTAATGTATATTTGATATTCAGCTGGAATAAATATATAAATAATAATAATAAATATTTTGGGGGTATAATAAATCATTGCTGTTATAGAATCTTTGGCTGATTCATAAATATCTGTGATAATGATAAGCCACCAGCCTTAATGTGTCCCAGCAGTTCATAATGTTAACTAGGTGCTCTTCTGTTATCGGGACTGGATTCTGGAATGTATGTGCACATCTGTATGTTTGTATGTTTGTGCGTGTACACATGTATGCATATACATGCTTATATACATGCATACATGAACACATACATCTATACAAACATATATTTCTGAATCCGATCCTGATAACAGATGAGTACCATTAACTTATATTACCAATGTCTGCAACAATTATAGTTTTAAAGTACTTCATGACAAAAATTTTTATTCAAATGCATTACAAAGTCATTTTGTACATACATTTAAAATGCAAGTGATACATGTAAGTATTGAAGAGGTATTTGCAGCCATTAGAAATAATATGAATAATTATTTTACATAAAGGTTACATTTATTTACTGTTATCAAGCAGTTTTTAAAATGTATTAATTTTTTTCCTTTCCCTTTTCAGGGCTGTTACCCTAGAATACATTCATGGCTTATGGAAAGATTATATGTAGTGGGCATCATCAGTTTAGTCTTTGCTTTTGTTCAGTTATTTGGAATAATATCAGCTTTATTCATTGTATGTTCTATGACTTCCAAAAGAAGATAATTTTTTGATTCTACAATGACAGTGGTACTATTGAATTTCCTCCTCCCCAAAAATGGTTTATTGAGCATTTTGCTATGCACCATGACAAAGTAAAAGATCTTGGAATTATTCAAATACATTTCCTGTGTAAAATGCTGAAGCAAAAGAAAGAAGTCTTTCACAAGATTTTTTTTATATCTCTTAAAGTGCAAAGAAGCCCTGTATTGTTAGGTAAATGGTTAGGTAAAAGTATGTCCATAAACATATCTGTGTTTTCACATGTGCCTATATCTAGACTGCCTTTTAAGCCTTATGTACTGTATTATTGCTGACAAAATCCTTTATGAATAGTATAATTTTAATTTTTTGTATTACATTAAAAAATGTATTAGTCTCATGCACAATATTTGAAGTTGATACTTTCTGAAGCTGTCAGAATTAAAAGCTCTTTACTCAGAACTCATTTTTGCATACAGAAATTCAGATTAATACAAAATCGTAATTTAAATTAATGGAGTTTAATGAAAAAAAATTGTGTACTCTTCAATTTGATTGTATTTATATATTAATACATATTTTGTTTGAATAATATTATTTTATTGAAAAGTCAGATTTAAGTAGCAAAAACAAATTTTATTTTTAAAAAATACATTGTTATTGTAAATAGTATATTTTTATGCATTTGTAATTACCATATATAATTTTCATGTTTTTGCTATGTGTAAATTAGTGTACTTGCCATAAAAAAACTGCATTTTAGGTGCCTTTATTCAGGAAAAGTATATTTCAGGGTACCCCTTGGCATAAATGAAACAACTGGGCAATAATGCAAGGGGTACCCTAAAATATAGACTACCCCTTTATTCTCTTATGTATCATTTCAACATTTTTCAAATAGTTTGATACATATTTTAAAAACTATTTAAAAACTAGATATTGTCATTTCAAAAAAATTGGAGAGGCTTCTGAATGCATTATATTGTATTCTGATGTGGAAATGATGCATATAGTGCCTTTATATATATATATATATATAAGGTACTGCCTATACAAAAAAAAAATTGCATTTTTTAAGAAACTTACCGATTGAGCAGTATATATTTTTTTTTTTTTTTTTGTGTGTGTGTATATATATATATATATATATATATGTATATCTTTCTATTTCACTGGTATTTATACAAAACAAATTATGAAATGTAAGGGAAAGTGGCAACTAAAACAGTATGGGAAATATTGTCAGAAAATCACATTTCACAGTATATTGTCTCTAATTTAGTAATTGTGATATGTTATCCTACCCACCAATTAAATAAAAGTGAACAATTCCAGGGAGACAGTGAATAATATCTGTGTGTCATTATAAACTTTGCATGCATAAACTTTGTAAGTCCAAAAGAATGAAGTTCCATCATTGTAAGTGCATACTTTATTTCTAGAACATAAGGTAATTATTATTTTTTCATCAAATTTTTATAATGGTACAAATTTTTTAAAATGTGTATTTGTTGCGTTTCCAGAATATGAGTTACTTTTTTTTTTTTTTTTTTTTTTTTTTTTTTTTTGTTGTTGTTGTCTGTTTTTGCTGATGCAGTACATGTTTATTCCTAAATATACCATTACATTAGTTATTATACTTTTCTCTGGAATTGTCTTTTGTTCATTTTTATTATTTTTTATGTATTTTTGTTATTATTTTTACTGGGTATACATTGTTGACATATTTGCTTGCAGACTTTCAGAATTTTCAATGATGAATTGCTTTATAGCAGTGGTTCCCCATCTGTAGAGTATCTGGAGGGCAAGATAAAGTTTTATTGGGGGGGAAATCACCACTCAGTCAGCTGCCAGTGTGTAAACAATGAACAAAAATTTTCAAGAAAGTGGGGAACATAGAAATGTTTGGGAACCCCTGCTTTATAGTACAGTCAAAAGTCTTTAATTCGGACTCATGGGGACTTCAGGGATTCTGGATTATGGATCAGTTTAAATCTGGTAAGATGGCATGCAGAAGTTATAAAATTAAAAATATGAAACCATAATTTAAGAAATAAAGAGCAATTGTGATCTAAAGGGTATCAAAATTTACAAAAAAAAAAAGCTTAATATTTATTTGTTTATTTTATTAAACATTTCTTTAAACGCGCACATGCGTAAAGCATACGTTACGCATAGTAAAAATTAGAAAATTGCAACCAGAAAACTATTTGATGTGTATTCGTGATATTTATAATGACGAGGAATTTGATTTAAATCATATCAAAGACGGAGTACATCCAGATGAAATACTACACTTAGTAAGGAATTATAAGCCAAATAAAATAAAAACCTCTGCCCTGAAGATAAGGATAGTGCTGACAGATCAACTTCCAGTTCATTGTGCACCGTGACTGAAAAATCTACCTTCTTGCTCACTAGCCGAATTGTTGTTTTTGTATATAAACATGACTTTTAATTATAAATTTTCTTAACTCTTTTAACTGTATTTGGTGTTTTATGTTTTTGCATATTCTACAATTTTTAATGAAGATGTTTTGAGTTTTTATGTATTTTGCCTTGCTGCAAAGTGAGAACTGAATTAATTGAATGAGGAATATATGTATAATAAAATTCAAGGAAATAAATTTAAATGGAATGAAGTGTATAATTTAATAGGGCATACAAGTCAGTCGTGGTGTCCACATCAATTTTTTTTTAATTAGAATGCATGAAAACATGCGTACTTTTTAAAGTTGCAATATACAAATCATATGTTTCCTATATTCATAGAAATGATTAACTCGAAATGAAAAGTCTGATGCATATGAAATGGCTTCAGCTTCTTATTTTTTTCTGCAAGTTGATGCACAGTAATAAAAACTATCACACCTTCCTTTCAAGTGTTACGTTTTTTACTGTGAAAAAGTTTTAATAATTCATCTTTCAATAATATAATATTAATACTGTCTTCAAATATTTACTGTTAAATTTGATATAATTTTGTAATGTTGCTCAACTATTCTTAGGCCGTTAAAAAAAAAGTCAGTTTCAGTAGTGCAGCTGAATGAATATTCATTTCCAGATGTTTTGAGTTCAAGTTTTTAATGGAATAAAAATTTTACCAGTTTGTTGACTACATTTGACATCAACTTGATATTATTTGATAGATGCATTTAGCTTGTCTTCATAAACATTATGAATTGTAAACTGTGAGAGAATTTTATATAATATCTAAATTATGCTAAATTTAAATACTGGAATAATGCTGTATTTATTATTATTTTAAGGCCATATTTTTATACACTAGATATTTTAATGAAGAGAGCAATAATCAAATATTTATTTATATACAGTACATTTATTTCCATATAGTACATTTATTTCCATACAGTTTGTACAGCATATTGGGAAAATATTTATTTCTCTATATGCTGTAAAACAATTTGTTCTGTGTTTTAAATATTTGCATTGTCTTTTCAAGAAGATGTGTGTGTGTATCTACCTATAAGTTGAGGATTTCCAATTTATTTGCTGTATTATTATTATTATTATTGTTAAGTTTACAGCTGTGTAGCAGACAAATTTATGCACACAGCAATTATAATCCATTGGAGTGTACATTTATATATGCTGGCATTGTTTCCTCATGGATTATTATTAATGTATATTTTTTATGTGGAAGAGAAAATATTTAGAAAGTATTATTATACTTTCATAGTATATTTAGTTAACTTGGTGTAATGCTGTTGCAAATGATTTATTGCACTCTGTGCATTTTAATGGCTGATAATAATATCATTCTTAAGAATGTATGTTGTTTTTATTTTTGATTTGTTTTTAGATGTGTTGATTTATAATCGTTATTATTACTTCCTAAGTGTATGTATGTAAGGGTAAAAAGTGTTCTGTTTGTAGTGTACTGTATTTTTTAAGTGTTTAACACCTCTGTTGGTGTTACGATGTTTATGTATTGAAGCATATTTTAACTAAAGTTCAGAATATTAATTTTATAAATATTTTCACATTTCTTTGCTATGCTTAGAATATCCTTTGCTATTTGGATGTATAGGTGTGATAATTCACAGTTTTGATGTGTAACATTGTAGCTATCTTCAGGTATTATTTATTCATTGATGTTTCACAACGTTTATTCTGAAAGTCTTTAGAATTTGTATTAAAATAAGTAAGTATCAAAATATTTCCCATTACATTTTCCTTCCTACCAAATACAGGGCCTCATTAAGCTACTTTGGGATAGCTGGCGTAACCTCTTTCAGAGGCCCTCAGTGCTCACTTTTCTTGCTTTTATAAGGGTGTAAGTTCTTTACTTTTGTTCTGTTAAACTAAGTGTTGAGGAACCTAATGAACTGCTAAGCAGGTGACGGAGGACGGGGACGCCTGGCGTATAACATAGGTAAACAGGCATATGTCCCACGTCCTCCACTATCTCGAAGAAGCAACTCGCTGGAGCCCCGTGAGGCTGCACCGGGAGTTTACATGGCCATACAGATGCTAGATGTCGGGTAGTTTTTACATAGGACGTTGTTAATAACACAAAGTAACTTAAAAAAGAATATAAAGGATAGCATTAAAATACTAAAACACTCATATAAGCTGAAACACATAGATATACAAAATTAAACGTAAAAGCATAAAAACATACTCGTTATTACGTAACATAAAGACATAAAAACACACGCGAGAATACATACCATGACACATAGAATACATATGGAAACACGTAGAGCACATAAATGCAAATATTACACACAGAAGAAACATATGAGACGTAGTAACGTGTGCGTAAAGCAGTAGCGCTGTGCGGAAATATGCTCAGTTCACATAATACATAATGTACATACTTTCATTAGGGGCTTCTGTTGCATGAATTTACATATTTCGTTGCATACACTACATTCGGTGCATTTGTACGGATATTATATATTTCGATTTACGATAACACATCATTCCATTGGGTGCCCAGTGCTTTACACTGATAAACATGTCAGTAACATTATTTCTGCAAGTTGGTGGCTATTGAAAGCAGATGTTAACACGAGGCTTGAAATTGAATGTGGAATGTGTATTACAGAATGTGTACTACAGAATGTGTACATACTGCGAATATCTAATCGTTGAGTACATTGTCTGCAGTACCATGCTACTGTGGCAAATGTCTTGCCCTAGGGCATTGATTTGCTGTACAACTGCGCAGATACTCCTTATAGCTGGCGGGTGTTTGATTATGAAACGATAGTAAAGTGTTCTATCATTCGTTGGATGTGGTAAGTGGTGGTTTGTTGTTAGACCGCAGTCAAATAAGCAAACAATTGCTAAAGTCCAACAACAGAAATGTAAACTCAAGAAGGCTTAATTACCCTTTATTCATTCAGAATAAGATTAACAGTTGGCCCCCCTTCTTAGGGCATACAGCAAAGCCTCCACTTGGACTTCAATTCAAAATTTAAGAAATAAGAACTAACTAATGACTAACTAAAGAGAATTAACTGAAGCTAACACAATTCTAAACTAGTTAACCTGAAATATTAAATTAACCACTGAACTATCAAAAGGCTCATAATACGGCAAAGCTGAATAACAGCTTTAGAGTCATAATGCAAAAGCAAATGTGTGCTTCTCAGGAATCGTAGTTCTCTCTGTCCAAGTCAGTTGAACTTGACTTAAATAATAGTCTCGTTTTCATTTGCATTTAACACTATTCTAAAAACTCATTCTGGTAGGGAGTTGTAAGTTGAAGCTAGAAAAAATGGGAAAGAGGCATAAACTTAAAATAACTGTCATAAAATTAAAATATTCCTTGCAGGAAGGGGAATCCTTGCAGGATTATGGGAAATATGTGACCAAAAAAGGGGACTAACCAAAATCAAGGTCCTAGCATGGCCATAGGTTTTAATCAAGTCATGGATGAATACAATTCTCATCCTTTCAAAGTGATTGTTAAATTACTGTTGCTCGCCATTCTTCTTTTGGGTTGCTGTTCAGCAGATTCCCTACTGGTCGTCATAACACTTTCAGATGAGGCAAATCTTTGCCAACAAATATTTTCCTTGGCTCTGTTAAATAAAGACATTATATGGAGTTGAATCTGGGATAGTATAGGTATAATGACTAAGAGCTTGAGCCTCTAAATTTCCTAGAAACTGAATGTTTATCTGCTGAATGAATTGCTGCATATTTATGATGCAGTGAATTTCCTCACAGTCCAGTTTCTGATTATCTTATTCTTACTTTTTTTAGTCAAACATTCTATGACAGTTCACCAGTACATGCAGTGCCTTTTCTTTAATTTTCTCACATCAGTCAGTCAGTCTCCATGAGTTCTTCACATGCATATCCACTTAGGGGAGGTACAACATTTTAAATTAATTAGTTTAACCTTCATGAAATAGTATGAATATTCAATATGAATATTCATAATTAGTTTAACCTTCATGAGATGATCTTCAGCAGGAAAAATATGTACAGCAGGCATTTGTGAATTTATGGCTTATAGATCATATTTATAAAGACAAGCTTCATTATCTAATATGATGTTAAAATTACTTTTTAATGCTTTAGTCCTAGTCTTATACATGTAAGAGGTATACGGCCGGTTGCGGCCTTTACCAATATAAATTTTCACAATCCACTTGGGAACCTAAAAGAAAGAAAAATAAAATCTGAGAAACTGCATGTCTGCAACGACAGGCACAATTACGTCCATTTTTGTTCAGACCAAAAATGCTGGAGAATGGGCAAGGCCCGAACTCATGATGACAGGAACTGCAGAGTCGTGGGTTAAACCCATTCGGCTGCTAATTACTTCAGATAAGCATGGCATTTTTACCTTCAGACAGTAATGGCATTAATCTTCTGCGAATTTGATCATCATCATAGCTGCTTGAATGGCTGCTTTTAATGTATCTGCTACTGTTTTAGCTGATTTTATTTTAACTATTGAGTGATATTACTGTACTTCAAAAGTTCATTATTTTCTCGTCTCGTACCCAAGAAATTGCTTTATTGAGATTATCAGGAGGAGGAGTTATTTTTCCCTTTATCATTGTAAGAAATTTTCGGGAGGTTCTGATTTGCAGGTTTATTTTCATTAATTTTCATCAGA